CTGGCACTCAAATATTTAATAAATTCCACCAAGTCAGAGTGGGGCTGTAGTCACCCAGGCTCCTAGGACTGGGCTTAGCAGGGTTTAAGACATCTCCTTCCAGAACACACACAGAAAACATGAGAGATAAAGTCAAATGTCTTCCATTTGTTTGGTCTTATAGATTCCACAAGGGCAGGAAATTTCCTCCATCTTGTTCACTGACCTATCGTAAGAGGCTAGAGACAGTGCCTGGAACATGGACAGTGCTTGCTAAATATTTGCTGAGTGAAGAATAGAAGAGTAATTCATACTAGATAGTCTGCTGTAATTTCTGGAGCTCCCTGGATGTGCTCACAAGGAGCAGGTAATGACCTGGAATGTCTGGAATGACCTAAGTGCAAACAGTACACCACTGGCTGCCCTTTCCACCACTTCAGGCTTTTACTTGCCTCCTGCTGTCTTGATTTTGAAAATGATTTCTTATGAAAGTGTTTTCCTGCTTTTTGCCTTTAGCCTCAAGACTTCTCGCACTCTTTCCCAAGTCAGTTCTGTTGTCCTTTTCCAAGATCATCCCTATTAAGTTCCCTTTTACAATGTGATGACCAAAACCCTTATGTGGCATTCCTAGAAGGAAAGCTTCAGCCGGGAATGTCACAGCTCCAGAGCCTTTTCAGAATTCTCCCTCCTCTAATTAGGATGGTCACACATCTCAGCTGCTGCTTTTGACTGCTGCTGTGAGCTGCATGTTGATGCCCATCATTGTGCCGAGATAATTTCCCTGAGCTGCGAAAACTAATAATCAGTAGTATTTTCAATAGAGCCTTTCCATTTAGTGTGGGTGCCTTATTCGGCACTTCGTTTTGGGGGGGGGGTTGAATTTGGTTTCTTGTCATGTTTCCTAATTAGGAAGATTTAAAAGATTCATTTTGATTTTTTGAAAAATTCCTTCCCAAGAATGCTTATCTCAGCTTCAGCAAGTGTTTCATCTGCTGATTTCACCTCTTTAATTCCTGCTGGGTTGTTCACATGTCAGACCTTAGCAGGGCTGATTCTGAGGCTGCCTCACTGCTGGCTCTGTTTCAGACTGAGGCTGGGTCTTTATATTCAAGGCTGATGGGCACAAATGAAGCTCTTTTCTCCCTTGCTCCTATACCCTTTCTTTTCTTTTGCCCTTTCTTTTAGTCTCCTGCTCCTCCTTTATGTCAAATCCATCTTGTCTTCCATATGCATTCCTAGCGATCCATTTCTGGCTGTAAATGTGGTCTTTAAAAAAATTTTTAAACAATTATGAACATAACATTGAAATAATATGTACTATATCCTGCATCTCACCACTTGGTTCTCTTTTCTCCTTCTATTGTCATTATGGGAGACTGATTCTCAACCCCCAAATCCACTTTGCTGCTCAACTACCTGCTTTCTGATTATGTTCATGCTTTTCAGTGATTGCTTTCCTTTGCTCATCTTCTCTCTCTTTCCCCTGGGGCATTTCTTCTCACTGATCCTGGCACTCAAATATTTAATAAATTCCACCAGGTCAGAGTGGGGCTGTAGTCACCCAGGCTCCTAGGACTGGGCTTAGCAGGGTTTAAGACATCTCCTTCCAGAACACACACAGAAAACATGAGAGATAAAGTCAAATGTCTTCCATTTGTTTGGTCTTCCCGAGAAAACTAGTGAGACTGTGGTCAGTATGCATACTTTCTGCTTTGTGGCATATTGCCCAGAACTATAATGCAGGGGGAAGCATTCCCAGGGCCAGATTCTGTAATAGGCAACATTTCAGGCATTACATGCAGAGAATAACTTATTGAAAGTTGGAGAGGCTGAGCCCCAATGATTGAGCCCCACCCTTGAGAAAGGTATGAGAGTGCTATGAAGATATTTTCTATAAGGATATTTATAAGTCCCAGATCCATTACATTTCCTCAGCAAAGTAAGAGGTGCATTATACTTAGTACAAACCCAAATACATAAGGCCCAGGTCATTTAAATGAAGATGAGTAACACTGGCCTGCTACCTCAGGTAAACCTGAGAGTTCATTCCCAGTCTACATGGGTCCGCAGGATTTGGCCACTTGTTGGCATATGAGAATACAATGTCTAAGAGAAACTGAAGATCCATATTGTTTAATGTGAAATTTCCTGCTTTAAAAAACATTTTTAAATATTCTGTGTGTACTAAAGCTCCTTAGCTATCAGTTTGTGACCCCAGGCCTAAATGATCAGTAAAGCCAATTCCCACACTTGCTCTATAAGTGGTTTTAAATCAAGAATAATAAGAAAAAAATTATCTAAAATTTGCACATCTGTTTTCAGTTTACGAAATATGTTCCCTCCATATTACTTTGGGATACAGCAGTATATTCTGAAAAGTTATCCACCTGATATATATCCAAACCAGTTGTGTTCTCTCTACCCTATTCTCTGGCAACCTGAAGTCTTCTGGGAAATGAAGTATAGGCCCAAACACAAAAGGTTGAGGACCTGATCCCAATCTTTCTAGTTAAACTTGCTTTGTAAAATTCCACTCCACCTTTGATGAAGAGCTAATTCCTAAATTACTTAAACTGTTACTGTTCGCTTAACAGAATTTGCTAAAGACAATCACAAAAAGCACCATTAACAATGGACCTATTTAATTAATTATGAATAAATTTTAATCCTAAATAAAAGACTAACAAATTGAACACAGGAGCGTAGTCAAAGACTAATGAATACATGAGGGAGAGTTTATTTCAAGACTGTAAGGATGGGTTGAACATTTGGAAATCTACTAGTATATATTTCATTATATTAATAAGTCAGAGTAAAAAATACAGTTATCAAGTTTATGAGAAAGTTGATCAAATTTAACATCCTTTACTAATTAAAAGCTAATAATAAACTAGGAATGGAAGAAAATTTCTTTAAAGGCAAATTAAAGAATATCTAGCACCAACGAGGGGCAAATGCTTGTGTTACTGCATTAAGATTGAACACCCATTATCTTATCCTCCATTCTTCAAAAATTTTCTGAGGTTTTGGCCAAAGCAACAGGTAGATAGAAAACTGCATTCTTTGTAGGTGATATGATTATTGACATAAAATTCAGAAACATCAGCTGACAAACGACTAGGACTAATAAGAAATTTTCACAGTATGGTAGGATACAAGATTACACAAAAATCAATAGTTTTCCCTGTTCATGATAACAAAAAAAACCCTATAAAATATCTAAGAACAAACTTCACAAGAATTGTGCAAATCTACATAAAAGGTTTTTTTTTGTATTTAACATATAAAAGACCTAAGTACATCAAGACATGTGTTCCTGAATAAGAGGACTCATGATTTTGAAAAATTGGAAATAGCATTAGGAGACTTGCTTTATGAGAGAACAAATATATTACCAAGTTATCATAAATGTGGCATAGCACAGGAATTAGCAGAGAGCCAGTAAAATAGATGAGAATGTTCAGAAACAGATACACAAAAATTTAGTTTTTGATTGATGGTGGCACTTTAAAGTGGGGAAAGAATAGATTATTTAAGAAGCGTTATTGGGGTGACTGGTTGACATTTGGCAAAAAGTAGATCCCTACCTCAATTCATTTATAAGAATAAATTAGAGATCGAAAATATACACAATATGATATTTTTAGTATAGTTTGGCAATATGTATCAAAGTTTGAAGTTTCCATAATTTCTTATTGAACAGTTCCATTTCTTAGAACTTATTCCAAGGAGGTAAATGGACAAATGTACAGAAATGTTAGTACAAAATGTTTACTGCTTAATTTTTATGAGATAGTAAGAAATTAAAAACAACTTAATTGTCTATCATGATGAATTATTTCAAATGTAACATACATACAAACTATGGAATGACATGAGTCTTTAAAATGATGAAATACATTTATGTGTATCAGAATGAAGACTATCCACATCATATTAAGTGAAAATAATGTCATGTTTTAAGTCTGCAGGTACTTTTTGATTTTTTTTAGATTTTATTTTTATTTATATTCAGAGAGAGAGGAAGGGAAGGAGAGAAATATCAATGCGTGGTTGCCTCTTGTGTGCCCCCAAGTGGAGGCTTGGCCTGCAACCCAGGCATGTGCCCTGACTGGGAATCGAATCAGCGACACTTTGGTTCACAGCCAGCACTCCATCCACTGAACTACGCCAGCTGGGTGATCTTTTTTTTTTTTTTTTTTTTTTTTATGTACAAAGGTATAGAAAAGCCCAAGAGGATCTATAGCAAACTGTTTCTTTTTCATTTCCAAAGGGTAGATTCTACTTTTTGCCTAGAAGATTCATCCCCTCTCTTAGCTCTTTTACTCAGGTAACTCCAGTAGGAGTACATCCTTAAACTTCTTATGGGGAGGAGGGGATGGGAGCAGATATCTCTCCTAGGTAAGCATGATCTCTTAGAACCCTGTACTTGCCATGTTCCCTATACACCATGCTGCACCTTTTTATATACCTGCATTACCTTTTGCTTTTTTCTTTAGACTCTAAGCTCCATGAGGGCATGGACTGCATTTGCTCAATCTTGTTCTCTGGAGAGCCTAGCAGTGCCTGGTAAACAACTGCCACTACTTGAGCTCTTGCTCTATGCCAAATACTGTGCTAGGTACTTCAAACGATGCCACTACACTCTTAGGTACATACTGAAGATGTTATTATCTCCATTCTGAAGATTCGGAAACTGCGAGTTAAGATCGTGAAGCTTGTCCCAATGTCACTGGTTGTACTGGGATCAATTACTAGGCCCTACGATCAGTATACCGTGACCAGTAACTATGAAAAGAAATACAACCAACCGTGGCTTGAGGAGCATTTGATGGGGATATTGCATTGGGGATTTAACGGTAAAACGGGGGTTGGACTAGAAGTCCTTTAAACTCTATTACATTCCAGATACTCACAAACTCCTCCCATTACAACCCGCCAGCAGAGTCCGGAATAGAGCGGCTGGGGAGGGACAAGCTTCCGGGGGGCGGGGCGGGGCGGGGCCAGCGTTTTGGGCGGAAGTCGGGAGGTTTGGTAGTCCAAAGACACTGGCTTATGACAGGGTGGGGAGAAGGAAGGCCTGCGTAAAGGTTGCCTCTCCATTCCTTCGTTCCCGGGAACCCTAGGAAAAAACCAACACCTCGGACCTGTGGCCAGCCCCTTCCACCAGGCTCTCTCCGCTCTATTTCGCCACCGTTATGTGGGAAGCAAATCCGGTGAGCAGCCGGGCGGGACGGGGCGGACCCAATGGGCGGGGTTGGTGGGAGGGGGTTCCCAGGAACTGCTCCCCAGCCTCTGCTTCGGGTTGGATGTTGGGTTCCGGGTCTCGAAGATCCCGGCCCTTGCCGCTTTCCACTCCTGCCCTTTTGAGTGGTGTAGATGGCCCGATGGGTTCTCCGACGTTGTATTGCTTTCCTAATAGTTACTTATTTTACTGGCTGTGTTTTCTCCGCCTCCCTCCCTTCACCTTCGTAAACTTTGTGTTTTGCTTTCCATTGGAGCTTCGGACCTGTTACTCTGCCTTTGCCTTAGGTGTACTTGCCAGTCCCACCCATCTAAAGTTAGGGGAATCGACCCCCGGGTCTTGAATGGGTCTACATTCAAGGAACCGTCACTATTTCCCTTCTAGGTGGACAGTCATTTAAAACTTGGGGGAACCGAGTGTATGTTCTGAGCCTCTGGATAGTGAAGTTCTTAGATGTTTCTTTTTCAGTGGACAGAATTGGTGACCTGGAATGTTTCAACTGCAAGTTTTGTCTCTCCCTCCTTGTTTGATTCCGGCATATGCGTTATGCCTGCATTTATTTTTGTCTGATTCGCTTTTATCCATTTATTGAATGTGCAGCCCTCAAAGAGTGCAATTTGTTTGCCAAGAATAATCCCTCAAGCTCTTGTCAGAGTTGAAATCGCTTAGTGACATGGCAAATGTACACTATGCTGACTGGATAAATGGCAGAGTCACATTTCAGCAAATTGTTGGACTAAATATGTCAAACTACCCCATATGCAGAGATATCTGCCTAAATTTACTCTATAACCCTGTTTCTACAATTGCAAAAACTTTTTTGGTTTAATTAATACCTTTCTTCCATTTCTGGAGTATATTTCTAGATAAATTACAGAGTTTATCGGTTAATTTGTTAATTTTTAAAGTATTTATCCAGTAGAGACCTCTATATGTATTTGTTGGTTGCACAGTGTGGTTCCCTCCCAGTTCATCATGTAACGGTGATCATCTGAGATTTTTTTTTTTTTTTTTTTGGTTTATACATATAGTCCTCTAGTATCAGGTTACATCAGAGGAAAGTAGTTGCTGGTGTTTGATTTTAGCAAAAATCAAATATGATTTTTAAAATGTGAAAAAGTGCTCTCTGCATATATAAGTTTCACTGTCATCAACAACCTTCATTTTGTATTGTCTCTGTGTGTATGTGTTCAATTTTTGTTGGCAGTCTTCCTTGTCTTGATTTCTCTGTAGCAAACCTTTTAGTTACCCAAGTACATGTCTTATTCAAAGTCACATGTTTTAAATCCTTCACTATGTCCTAAGCTCCATATGAGCAAGGATTTTTGTCTGTGTTGTTTACTGTGGTATTCTCAGTCTAGAGAACAGAGCCTGGCATACTTAATAGGCACTCAGAAAATATTTGTTGATTAACAAAGGTGATTGTACTGAAGAGAGGCCTTTGGTCTCACTGTTTATTCTCCATCCTCCATTACATATACATCAGCATTTGCTATTGGGTCATTTGTATGTTTGTGAGGATTATAAAAGCATTAATGAATGTCTCATATATTTGGTTTGTTATATCCTCTCTCTCCTTTGTAAGAAATGCTGTTTTCTCTGTTATCACCCTAACAATTTTGCTTAATTTCAGTAGATTGATTTTTATTAAAAGTAGGGAGCATAGAATTCCATTTCTTTTAACTCTTAACATATTACTCTAATGTGCCTTAAGGCTACTAGGTTTACGTACTACTGATACTGTTTGTTTTCATATAACCATATGAATACTGACAACAAAGTTTTGTTTTAAAAATACAGACAACATTCCGTATGTGGATTTCTCTCATAGTTTGTTAGTTTCTTTTAGTAGAAGAGGCATTTGGATAGTCTCTCCAGATGCACTCATGGAATGAAAATTAATTTCAGTGTTACCCTAAGCCAAACAATTGGGAAGGTTTTTTAAAAAAACACAATAATCTTAAAAGATAAATGCAGGTGACTTTTGCATTACTCATCAATTTAAATCACTGTTTATCATTTTTTCCATTGAATGAGAGAATAAATTCTGGGTGAAGGAAGGTCATTTGTAAACTGCCTTAATGAAGACTTCTGCCTAGTTTCTTCCCATACCATTTTGTTAGCATCCTTAGTATGCCACCTGTGATCTGCAAAGATACCTCCTATTGTAAATATACCTTCTGTGTAGTAGTGTATTCCACTCACAAGTGCTTTGGGGAACTGTTACACTGGGTTATTTGTAGTTTCACTATAAACATCTTTGCCTCAAGGGTTTTTGTTACAAGCATTTTTGTTACAAGCATTTTGTTACAACAAACATTTTCGCCACACAGGTCATTGGCAGTAAGACATTTTCACTATAAAAGCTAAAATAATTAGTTGACAGTTTGGTTTCATTTCTTCATGAGGGACCAACCAACAATGTATTTAAGCTAGTTGTCAGTTTGGTTTCATTTCTCCATTGGCAAAGTTCTTGCAGTACTCCCGTTTTTATATTATATAAATCTTAGCTGGATTGCATACTATACTAGAAAATAATAACATCAGTTTTTGCATATTTTTTGGTGAGTATAACAGATCCCATCAAAACTCCCCATCAAAACCAAGTTTACCCAGCTGTGGCAAACATAACAGAGGCAGCTACTAATTCACAATAGTCTTCGAGAATGTTATTTATTCTCCAAGCTCTGGGAACAATAATGAAATTTCTTCCTTTCTTTAATGAAGGAAGGAATTTTAGTGAAAAAAGAAAATGCAACGCTGAATGAGAAGACAAATTAACACCAAAAAAATGTGTACTTGAACAAAACACTTGGAAGACAATGTATCTTCATTTTTTGTAATAGTCTTTTTAATTTTATTGTCTTTTCATGTTTCATTATGTTCTTCTTAATGTCTCCGTTTTTGTTTTTGTTCTTTTATCTTTTATGGTGAAATTTCCTTATGGTTAATTAGTTCGGTGAAAATGCTATGGCAGAGACGTTTACAATGAAAACTACTGGACGTGTGTACACTCACCCTGGGCTTAGTAATGTTTAGAGGCAGTCGCCCCTTCAGGTAGAAAGTCTCCTGACATGGTTTGAGTGTGAAAGATTACCACTGAACTTCTAGCATTTGCTTGGGGTGGGGAGGACCCAGAACAAGATAACCCAGGAGCTACAAAAACTTTATTTAAGTACACAATTTCATTTTATTTTTGAAGTAAGTCATGAGGTCATTGATGATTCTATTGAAGCCTATCCTGACCCGACACCTTGAGGTAAGCATAATGTCCCTGCCAAGGCAGACCAGATTGACAGAAGCAACATGCACGCTCACTTCTTATACGAGCTCTTGGCAGTTCTTCATCCACCTGGGGGGAGGTAGCTCTTTACTGATGTCCTCCAGTTTAGGAAAGTTGCAACATTTGTAGAAAGGAGTTGGAAGGGTTGCCATCATTGCCTTGACTCTGTATACCCTGGCTTCAACCTGCCTGTCTTTGTCTGTCCGTGATTGTCTTATCCCTGTTTACTGGGATTGGAATAAGTAGATCAGTATTACATATGAGGGAGTTTCAGCTTCTCTCTGTCACACTGATGAGCAAAAATGGAAAATGAGCCCTGGCTGGTATGGCTCAGTTGGTTGGCGCATTGTCCCGTGAACCAAAAGGTCAGGGATTGGATTCCCAGTGAGGGCATGTGACTGGGTTGTGGGGTTGGTTTCCTGTCAGGGGGTGTTCAGGAGGCACTCGATCATCAGTGTTCCTCTCACATTGATGTTTCTGTCTGTCTGTCTGTCTGTGTCTGTCTATTTGTCTCTCCTTTTCTGGAATCAATTGATATGCCCTCAGGTGAGGATTAAAAAAAGAGAGAGAAAATGTACTTGAAAAGTAACCAAATAAAATTATTAAAAAAAAAAAAAGAGAGAATGAAAAATTACAAACATCTGTTCAAGATTACAAACCATCTATTACAATAGTAAGGCTTTTACACTAGGTGGTAAGCCCTTTTAAAATTCCTTTACACTTATTAACTCATACTGTTAGAATAATCTGATAGGTTAGCTAAGGGAAGGGGAAGTGATTTTCCCAAGACCACTCAGGTAAGTAAGCAACAGAATTTGATTAGTCCCCATGTCCTCCTTCACCCCATTATGTTGCTTAGTGGTAGCAGCAATGACAGTTGTATGCTTATGTCATGCTGTACCTGCTAAGCCACATTTTTCTCTAATTTTTATCTTCATACCTGCTTCCAAACTCCCTTGAAACTATGATTTTTTCTCCTTTCTTGGGTCAAAGTTCTTGAAAGAATAGTCATATTTTTTTAATCATTCTTTACTCATACCTCAGCTGCAGCCCCACTTCTGTCCCCAACCCTCAACTTGCTAGGAGGCTACCAGGAACCTTTGAATGACCACATACAGTGGCAACCTTTATGTCTTCAACCTCTTCTGTCTTTCTGTAGCATTAATGCTTTTAGGGGTGTTTGCCATCGCTCTCTTTTTTTGGTTTTCCTGAAACTACACCTTTGGTTTTTTTCTTTCTATAATTTATCATTGAATCATAACCTTGACTTGGCTGCACTGCTTTTTTTTAATCCCTGAAATGTTCTACTCTAACCTTTTGTCTGTTCGTTCCTCTCGGCACCTTCTGTTTGTTGAGTTTCATGACTTTGGATACCATTCTGGTGATTACACATGCCCAAAGTGCATCTGTAGTCCTGACCCCTTTCTTGAGCTGGGTGGTAGACAATTCTATAGGTTGTCCCTAGGATATGTCTAAACCAGACTCAGTCATTGATTTATTATTTTACTCAGTCAATAAATATTTAGTGAAGTAGCTACTACATATAAAACACCATTCTAGACACTAGGGAGGGGTTTATAAATATAGATCAAATCAGAGCCTAACCTTAGGGGTCTAGTAATATATGTTGTGGGTACAAAGTGATTCCAGAGGGTACTTGGGGTACTAGGAAGGTTTATTGAAGTAAG